AAAAGACAAATTTTTCTGACTAGATCACTACCTTATAAAGAAAATAAAGATAAATTGACTAAAAGAGTAAACTGGATTGATATACGGTATTAAAGAGGTTATTTCTAAGAAAGATAGTGATGCAGTACCAACTACCGTACTTTAATCCAGATAGCCGTAACTTTTTTAATCACTCTCACCACCAGACTGGACAGTGGGTGACGACGATTTTTACTGCCGCTGCTGCAACTAGTGACTTAAAAATACAATAAATCTCAAATGTAAAAGATCTTAAAAACGGTTAAAATACGTTTTCATTCAATAACCCAAAAGTTTGCTGTCCTTCAATGTTTGTTATCGATATGCTAATCAATAAGGATAAATTTGTTGTTATTTCTCGTCGTGCATAGGTCGAGGATTCAATGCTGTAAACCTGAGGTTGAATATAAACCAAAAAAAAAAAAAAACCAGAACAAAAGATGTGAAAATGTTTAGTAAGTTCAGCAAACCGTTAATCTGAAAAGTAAACCAATCAAAAAATTGTTACGTTTTGGCAACTATTATGGCCGACCAGTCGTATAAGACTTCCACTTTTCCTTCACTCATTGTCCTTGTTTAAAACAAGAAATTAGGAAGAAAAATCTTAATTGTAAAACCATTTTCACACTACGATTATTCCCCAATTGCATCCAAAATAATATGAGCAAAATTTTTGAAAAGAACGAGAAGGAAAAAGTAGCCAACAAGTCGAGTCCAATAAGTTGATTTACAAAAGAGAAAATATTTGAAAGAAAAAAGCAACATTCATAGTAACTGACATTTTACTCTCTTCAAAACAAGAGCAAAAAGAGAAACAAAATGAAGCAAAAAAAAACAATTTTTTTTCAGACTTTAAAATTGCACTTTCCGCAACTTCACTATCACAGATACGTTAGGAAGTTATTACGTAAGAAAAAGAAAAAAAAAAGCAAGAACAAGAGATTAAAATATAAAAAAACAACTTTATTAAGCAACACAAATGTTTTTTTTTTTCTTCGTTTTGCTGTTTCCATCGACCGTCAGTTGGTCAAACCACGAGCACTGATGTTGATAAAAAGAAAAAGCGTTGAAATAAAGTGAAAAAAAAAAAAACACTGAGAACAACGGAAAGAGAAAAAAGAAAAACGAATAAAATTGAACAATCTTCCTTTCTTTTTTTTTCTGAACCCCCAAAAATTATGTACCAACTCTCAATCTTGACATCAATATAAAAAAGGCATTCAGAAAAAAAGATTACGAATTCTTCTGACAAAAGCAAATGAAACTTTCTGAAAGATTTATTGATCTTTTTCTTCAATCATTAATTTAGTCAGCCAATCAACCAGATAATCCATTAGAATCGTACCGTTTGTATTTTTCTTTTTAGACGATAAATAGATTAAATAAACGAGATGCCTTCAAAGTGGAGACTGCTGATGTGTTGTAACCTCGTAAATTATCAACGCGATCCTGGAAGTGAACTGGCAGCTTCGTTCAACCACCCAGAACTATTATAATTCTCTCCCACTTGAACATCAAATATCAAAATTATCCAGATTAAAAACCTCAATATCAACAACGAAATAAATAGACAAATTATAAAAGAGTAATAATTTTACTTTTCAATGCTAAAAACATAAGGGTACGTACGCACTTCAGTTTGTACTCAATTTTATGAAAGTTGGAAACATTTCACTTAAATAGCTTCAGCTTCAAAGAGCAGCAAAAAAACGACCTGTTAATTGAAAGCACGACAGAAGTGAAGCAACAGTGCAAGTAGGTAAGCATTTCTCGACAACCTTAAACATTCACTCATTCAAATTTTTGCAGACGACTGCCCCTTATGCTACTATTATCTGACTTTATATAAGACTTGTGTTGGGTTATAAACTAACAATTTCGTTGAATCCAAACCACCGCCACGGATAACTACTGCAACATGACACACACGGTGCAGCCAAATTACTCCTGGATACTAAAATGCATATGTATGCATAAATACATCTGTACAGATGAAGCTGATACGCAGTTATCGCTATTGATTGCCGTCTCTGTTGCCACTCTTCTAGTTTCAAATAACTTCTTTTGTGCACAGCAAAAGTTTATAATTGAGAAAAAATAAATGAATAAAAAGTGCAACAAAAAATGTCGATTTTGCTATTCTTTAGGTAATATTTCACAAAATTTTTTTTTTGGGGGGGATGTTTCTCAAGCAAATCTTGGAGGAGAAGAGGGAAAAACAGAAGAAATAAGAACAGTGGTGAAAGCAAAAAAAAAAAAGCAACTTCATTTGCACTTCAAGATAATAAGAACCGTTCTTTTCCTAAATAAACTATTCTAAACAAATCTTCTGCATCAAATTTAATTTACAAGTAATAATGTAGAAAACTTTCCACTTAGTTCAAAAACAATCAAAAATATGTAC